CGTTATTGATGAATATTTAACCTGGAACGATCACATAGAAGCGGTAACGAAAAAAAAGTTATGAAGTCATCTGGAATAATAGCAAAACTGCGCCACTATACAAACCTAAATACATTAAAACTAATCTACTATGCTTTTGTCTATCCATATCTTATTTATGGCAACTTTAAGACTCTGGGGAAATACATATAAAAAACGAATTCAAAAACTTATAAATGTTCAAAAGAAGATTGTACGTTTAATGACTTTTAGCTCTCACTTAGATCATACTGAAAACATATTTCAGCACCTAAATATATTGAACTTATGCAAACTAAACGATTATCTTACCAGTTTGTTCATGTTCAGATATCATCACTTAAAAAACTTACCTCAATTTTTTGCGAACTACTATATTTCAAATAGTGAAGTTCATAGACATAATACAAGAAATTCTATGAAACTTCATAAGCCTTATCAAAGAACAAACTATGTTAAACATTCACTCTCTAACAAGGGAGTTGATATCTGGAATAATCTTGACCCAAACTTTAAAAATATAGCATCTTACTATATATTCAAGAAAAAGTCGAAAAAATACTACATACTGAATAACTGAAAAACTACTACCAAAACAACATCTGCAATATCAAATTTTTATATAAATTAATAATAATATACTTTTGTGATCATAACATTTTATTTACTGTAGCACTATATGTAAATACTTTATCATATTGCACCTCACTTGAAGCACTGTCACCTAGTTTTGTTTGTAAATAGGATCCTTATTTTGTAATTTAAAATGTAACTAGGGGTCTTAATCAAAAGCCTTTTGATGGTTTCTAGTAGGCCCCTAGCCCTAGATAATAAACATGTAAATATAATAATCAAAATTTTTTTGTAATTAAATTGGGCGAATTAAATTATAAAAAAAAAAAAATATATGATTCTCAAAGATGATTGTATAGAACGGTCACTCCTTGCAATCGAAGTGTGAGGTGCGGAAGTGGAAACATGTAATTTGATACTTTTCCATCCCCCTCTTAGGTTATCAATTTTCTATGGGTCACGTGACCAGCCCCGACCAGGGTCTTTGCTTCACAAGAGCAAAGAGCCTGGGAACGAGGTTGTCAAGTTTCATCCCCGAGCTAACGGCGCAGAGAGCCGTTCCGGGCGTTAGCCCGGGGCGAGGGTACTAATTCCGCCCGGCTATTTAGACCCGGGGAAAGGAACGCATTAGCGAAGTCTAAAGTTCATCAAATACCGTGGGCGCATAGCTATGATCCAGGGGTGGACCTCCTCACTGATCTCAAAAATATGGCTGTTTGCCAGGAGTGAGGTTACTGAGGTAAGCACACTAAGTATATTAAAGCAAGATTTCAATTTTGAAAAGCATATATTTGGAAAATCACGTTTCACACAATGAGCTTTGAATCAATTTTTGTTTGAAAAAATGAGAAGAATTGATTTACTATGGAAAATCGTGAAATATAGGGCAAGTTCGTTTTCAATGTTTAATGTTTATGATTATGAATTTTGTTGCTTTAATCTATTGCATAAAACATGCACTGCTGTTTTCCTTTTCAAAGAAGCTGTAATTCTCCTAAATTACCCTGTTTAATTAATACAAAGGAGAGCAAGTTAATTTGAAGACCTAAATGAAATTATTCAACAATTTGAAGTAAAAACAGTTTATCGGCAAAAGCAGTTTACTTATTTAAAATGAACATTTCAAAACATTTTACGAAGCAATTCAGGTTAAATTTTACAATAAATCAAAGCTCACAAAATCCAGAAAAACATACCTACAGTACATATTTCGGAAAGTCATTGTTACATAGTTGAAAGCAGGGACCCCGGAACTGGGGGAGCAGGAGGGGCAGCTGCCCTTCTTGCCTTTTGCTAGGGAAGGGCAAGGGGGGGCAGAAGTGCCCTTTTAGTTGTAAAATACTACCTGATAAATCACATTTCCAGTGATGCTTTTTCGGGCAAAATCATGAGATTCAGGTAATTTATAGCCCTAGAGAAAGTTAATTTACAAAGATAAGAGTGAATTTGAAAAAGAATGAGGTTAATTTACAAACATTTTAGAAAATTTTTGGATTTTAGAAAAAATTTTGGATAAATGGAGAAAATTGCTGATGTCGGGAAAACTTTTTTTCGTCACGAAAAATTTTGATATGTCCAGAAAAAATGTTGTACCCCTAAAATGGTACACTTACCGAAATTTATTGGCGAGTGGGTAAAAAAAATTTCATGTAAAAAACATTTTCAGGTAAATTTCGAACTTTTGATCTATAGAGGTGCCCTTTGGTGTGCGTCTGCCCCCCTTTGCCTTTTTATCGTGCGTCCCTGGTTAAAGGCAATAATCTTTCGACTATTTTTGCCGTGTTGTACAAAAGTATAATAAAAATTGTCTGATGGTTTTGCCAAGGCAACACTGACGTAAACGCGAGCCTGCGTTCATCAGGGTTGATCAATTACTAATACTTCATGTTAAATCAATGTTTGGAAAATATGGGCGAGGGGTTGCTGCATGCATGGATTTCTAGTTAAGTAACAGATTAATTTTGACTAGCATTTATACAGGTGTATGTACCACAGAATACCACACAAATTTACATGTTCCATATCTTTTGTAAATGCATATAACATAGCCTGACAAATATTTTTTAGTATATTTTTTCATTATTTTTTTCTTCCTGTGGGTTAGATTTGGCAGATTCTATTATTTTTTAAATCGGAATGGATAAAATTCTGTGGATAAAATCCTAGTGCACCATAGAATACCAGTACGGCAATAATAAGTAAGGAACGTACGGTTTATGAAATTATACGACGATTTGGTGTGTCATGTTTGTGTGATAACACTGTACAGATATTGCTATAACTTAATTTAGTGGAAGGTAAATACTAAAATCACTACAGAATACCGGTAGCATGTACCACAGTATATTAGGTTTACCAATAATTTTGAAAAATTGAGTTTTTTATAGTAAATTTGATTACTCTGCGAGATTACCGAATAGTAGAAACGTTGTATCGCTTAGAAAAACCGTTGATGAATGTAAATCATGTTAGTTTAAGAACTTATTTTCAAACTTTCGGATTTTACGGGCATTAAGCAGAAAAAAAGTACCAAAAATAAGTAATTTTATTTGTTGTTTATCCCGATTATTTTAAGAATTTTATGAAAATATCCATTTTTCGCTTTTATATTACCATTGAGACTAAAACGAATAAATATTCACAAAAATAAAGTATATAGCATGTTTCCTTCACATTTTATAGAAATAAAAGAACTGGTATAGTCTGGGGTACTGTGATATTCTGTGGTACATATACCTGTACTTCTGAGTTTATTACAAATAAATTGACCTCGCGGCTTTATTACGAGTTAAATATCAATTTATTCGTAATAAGCTCAGAGATATAAAAGCTGGTCCAAAATAATCCGTTACTTAATGAAAATTGACTGTTTATACGAATTGTTCGTCACTCATTTGCAGCTTATTTAATTAAGCCAAAACGTATGATTACTATTTCCAGCTAGATTGTCGACGACTCAAATCATTCCTCTTTTACATGCCTCAAATGTCAGGGCTAAACTCGAGTGACGAATATTTTCAATGTCTTCGAGTTAACAATGACCTCGAATCAATGACTCCGAGTTAGAACTTGCTAAGTTGCGTTTCTTTCTTCGAGTTAAGCCCTTGACAAAATTTTTATGTGGTTTGGGCGTGGTCGACGCTTGACCCAAAACGGGCTTAGAGTTTACAATTAATTGTGTGAACCGTTTTTCCAAGCTTTCTTTCATGTTTTTTAAATCGTTGCCTCCTTAATTCACTCCCGGCAAAGAGCTATATTTTTGAGATGACCACCCATGTATAGTCGTCATGCGATTTTTGATGAACTATTCTTGGATTCACTTCGCTAATTCTTTCCTTTTCCCCTGGTGCAAATAGCCGAGCGGAAAGGAGAACCTGTAGCCATTCATAAATTCAATATTAGGCGTTTCTTGTTAATATAAAAAAAGCATGGCATCATCTTCATTATTTAACAACGAAAGTGGCGCTATGTTTATAGTTTCCTTTATGGTTTAGATAGAGTGGACTTCAAGAATTTCAACTTAAAGATTTATATTATGTAGCTAACGCCCTGGTCAATGGTAGATCTAACAATTTGTTTCTTTCCCTAGTAACTTCATATGAAGGCGAGGAGTTTTACATCCGAGATAGTTGGCCAGAAAAATACAAACTATCATTGCTACCACAAATATTTATTGGAAAAATAACATATGTACTGTAAAGTGCAAATTAACCAAAAGGTCAGAAATCAACCTGTTTGGCTGTTTTAATGCTTAAAGTTACATAGGCAGTTCGACGACGAGCCTTCAAAACATAGAAATCGTTTTAGCGAGACAAAAGAATGGATTATCTGTGTTAAAATGTCTATCTCCACATATTTTCTTCACAAGATTTTAACTCTTTACGCAACTGAACTGAATTTTCTCCTTGTTGCCTCAACTTTGATTTAATTGGGTTTTAGCTTTTAAAGATTTTCAGAATTTTAGCTTTAGCTTAAGGCTTCAAGCCTTTTATCTGTGTTCAAATTATCTAAAATATTCCATAAACATTCAGCGTCGTCGAACGTACCGTAATTCATTAATATACACGTGCGTGTGCAGATAATTTGAAGAGCTCCTGACTATTTCTTCATGACGGCATGAGTATTTCAGCCATTGTCATGTCAAGCTGTTAACTGTTCTCAAATAGCTAAAATAGCCTACAAACATCCAGCGTCGTCGAACTTTCAACTTACTGCATGTCATTAATATAGGTGCATGTGCAGACAATTGGAAACTTCCAGAATATTATTTCTTCATGACGGCATGAGTATTTCAGCCATTGTCATGTTATGTGGTTTATTGTAGTATATGAGATATAACCACATCATTAGTGAACTTTATATTTGTGTATTAAGAGGCGTAGGTGATTAAAAAAATTAATGTGCAAGAACTAGCTCACTTACAAAAATGAACATAAAAAGTTGTGATTCTGTGCAAGTCATTGAATTAGAAAAGACCGGAAATGCTAAACACGGCTAAAGAAAGACCGAAACACGGCTAAAGAAAACTAAAAAGTAAATGAATCAGAAATACACGTTCGCGAACTCGGTGTTCGTATAATTATTTAAGCAAGGTATTAAAATTATGCTTTGCCAATAGTAGAGTTTTCAAGAGTACAATCAATTAATGCAGCTAAACAAATGCTAATGCCGATTGATTAATTGGAAAAGAAGAAAATTTAATGCGTCGTTTTATGCAATCAATGATGAGTTTTTATGAAAAACAAGTTCCAGGTCTTATGAAATTCAATGGCACAATTACAACCATGGCCAACTAATTTGCATAGGTTAGAGTCTTAAGATTTTATAAAAACGTAATTTTAAGCAAGAGTTGAAGTTTTAATTAGAACTATTTCATCTTTAAAAGAGCAGATACCTACCAGGAATGCTCTGGATTTCATTTTGGCGGAAATTAAGTAACGAAGAACACTGATCGATTTTCGCAGTTTTGTACGAAGGCAGGGTCGTAGGAATGATACTAACTTAAACTGCTTATGCAACGAAAACTTTTAGTATCTTATTTAAAAGAACTATAAAAACTACACACAGTAATTTATTTTGCATCTTTTCGTTCTCTTGCTTCGTTTTCGAGATGTCTCAGAAAGTTTGATACATGTGTCCTGCTTTATACGCCACAAAATGCATAATGATTGGCCGATAATTAGAGAATCAAGGTATTTGATGTTGTAGAACAACACAAATGGACAATGTATACCCTTGTTTTTATATAATAGCAAGGATACCTTATTATAGGAAATTAACGATGGACTTTATTAAAGTGACATAAATTAACGCGACATCAAATTAACGCGGATTGCTTCTAGGTCTTTTAAAACATGATTATATTAACGCGAATGTGATCTCCATGGTTGACAAATTAATTAAATTTAACGCGAATCGGATAGTGAACTGAGTTGAGAGGAGCACTGATGTTTTTAGTTTACGTTAATATGCTGTATTTTGATATTAGAAGAGTTAGTGTTATATAAAACAAATCAAGGTCTTTTTAACTAACGATAAATAAAAATTAAATACTTAAAATTAAGGATGACAAAAATTAACATCAATTAAATTAACGCGAATTATTAAAATCCGCGTTAATAAAGTGCATCGTTAATTTCCTATAATAAGGTATATACAAATTAATCTGATAACTCATTATGCAATTTGTGATGTGGAGACCATGACGCGTATATCAAACAAATCTAATCAAAATCTCGAAAACAAAGAAACGGAACGAAAAAATGAAAAAGAAGGTACTCTACAGTTTTTATTCTTCTTTTTAATAAGACAATAAAAAATTTTCGTTTTATTTGCACTTTAATTAAAATATCTTACGTACGGAAAATATTACGTTATAATGTCTCATTTTGGAGTGAATAATTTTGGAAAATTTTAAAATATTAATATTTAGTTGACGAACTGTTTCTGTTTCGCCAAACAATACTCCAAAATGGCTGAAAATGCCATTTCAGAAAGATTAAATTTCAAAATGTTCCAGAGGTGTAGAGCAGGCCCTCAGATTCCACTATAGTTTGGTGGTGCCTAAAATTCGTGACCGCAAAGACAACCTTTTATTTCGGCTGGTCACAAAAAATACCAGAGCTTCCTAAGCCCTCCATGTACAAGTTTAAATGATAGTATGGCATTTTGCAACTATCTTTTGTGTATCTTCGCGATTGTAAAACTCTTATTAAAGAAGGGAGAGGAATGGAGACGAGACGAGACGGCGAAATAAAACGTTCGAGAATTTTAACCAGCATATAGATTTGCTAATTCCTAGTGGCCATGGTTGTAGTTTTTGTGGTAGCTAGGCATGTGTTTGTGCATTAAAAAACGTATTCGTCTCCATAATGATAACCCATGACAGAAGACGGTGCATATGAAGGCACGGCGAGAGTACGAGGAGTTATGTTTCCTTTAGTTCCATAGTTCACAGGATACATGCCAGTACTTTGTTCACATAAGCTAAAAATAACAAAATTACACCCATTAATTTAATTGGTCGTCAGCAAGGTAAAAGATAATTTAAAAATACATGGCAAAGCTTATCTGATGTAAACACTAACTGACAGAAGACAACATCTATCATCAACGTGCAAAACAATATCGATATCGGCTAGACAATCATGCATATACGCGTTACGTACATATTTCTCTATGTTGGAGTTTGTTTTTGATTTTCATTGTTTTTAATTTTCTTGGCAATTATTTATCCCGTTGAAATAAGACGAACACCGATGAAATCTTGTTAACATGATCTTTTAATGGGATGTCTGATGGCTCTTAGCCTGCATGGCAGGCGGTCTAAAATACCGCCTGCTGGGTTTGTCCAAGTCCAATTAGCCAATCAGCAAACACTAAATATATTAATAATCAAACTGTGTTATTGTTTGGTATATGTAAAGCCTTAGTTATTTACACAATCGCCGCAAAATTGCAAATATAAAATATGTCGAAAGAAACGCCAGTGAAAGTTTCAATCAGGACAAGAGGCAGTAAAGCGCGGAAAATAAAATAACCACTGTGGTTTGTGTAGGTGTGCTTTGAAACTAAAATATGGGGCAATAGATCTTATATATCGTCGGAGAATTTATTTAAATCAAGCAAAAGAAACGATTACGAAAGTGGAAAAACCTTGACCGAATTGTGTTCAGTTCATTTAGGAATCGAAGTTCCTCGGAACTATCCGACCGAGTTTGTAAACCGTGTGAGCGAAAGATCCGAAACGCAAGCGAACTGATTGGCGATTGCTATAATCAAACGAGGTATAACACGATACTGTGTACGTATCGAACAAAGAGACCGTTGTAAAACGCCAGTTGCCAATAACTGTCTCGTCTCCCGAACGAAGCCCTGTGGTAAAGAAAGCCTTAAAAAGTTCAGAAAGTGAAGCGGCTAATAGACCTATAGGCGTAGTAGTCTTGCTAAATCCGTTGCAAGAAAGACTATATGGCCATCTGTATTTATTCTCGTTATATTTTCTCACGCCAACAAGAACAATATAAAAATCAAGCTTTCCCCATACTGTAGAACGGCCAAAACATTCTTCCCAAAGAGTAAATCTTTAACTGCTATCTCTTGCTCGCGTTTGAGAATCAGTTCGCGTTTCGACTTTATTTTCGAGAAGCGTTCAGTTTAAATTTACAAGCGAACGCATTCATTAATTTAAACGTATAATGTTACATATTAAGGTGTATTCACTTTCGAGTGACAGCGGCTCAGACTCGCAGCCAATCATCAATTCCCGTCCACTGGTGGACGGGGAATTCGGTTACACTGCCAAACCCAGTAGGCGGTTTTCCCAAGCTTGCCCGATTTTAGGGACCGCCTGCCATGCAAGTTAGATTGCTCTCAAAGCATGACACAAACAAAAGTATCGAACATTCTTGATTCATGTCTTGAATCATGTCTTGATATTTAATTTGAAAAATCTTGAATAGCTCATAAAGTTTAATTAAGAAATTTCCAAAGTACCAAAACTACAAAAAGTAGCTTATATTCAAGTGCTTTTATGTGGTAATTTCGTTTGTACAGGGTACTAAGCGGAATAATTAATTAATTATCTATAATTATATGGGTTTCCACTGCACGTACTCTGCACAGACTTATACTTGACCAAATTAGGTTTCCCAAGCTGTACATGTATTTTGACCCGCACAATCGTTTTCCGGTGTTTCTATTCTTCCTATAATTTTGGATCGGCAGATGATTGTCTATTTCCATGAGTTTGATCTCGCACTAAACTTTGATTGAGCCGTGTTCGAAACATGCATGGCCGCCGCCGTTGAACGTTTATATTGAATGTTTTCTGTCCGAAACCTTGTCTGTATAAGTAAAGTTTTTAAAAACCGATCAAAGCCATCAAACGGTGCCATCACCAAGAATTCAAAGTTCAAAAAACCGAAATTAGGATCTATGAAATGTAACGACATATTAAATATTTTAAGAATTATCGAAACTACAATTTCGTTTACTAGCTTCAAGCGGCTAAAAAACGTTCCCTGGGGCCGGTTGTTCAAAAGCCGTTGAACTTAACCCTATAGGTTAACTTAAAATTCAAGGCAAACTTCATATCAGCTTGTTTATAAGTTTTAAAATATTTGTTCAGAAATATTGTCTTGATCAGTAGCAGTTTTCTTCTCTAAAGTTTTGAAATAAACAGACGTGCAGAAATACAGAAACTAAAACAGCAGGTTAAATTTTAACCCAGGTTTAGCGCTATAATCCAGCTTTTTTAAAGTCCATACGTACTAAAAAGTACAATATCTGACACCAATTGAATCGATGAGTGAATATCTTCATTGCCACAAAAAACTGCGGTTTATAATTACTGCGGCATGGGAAAAAGCATCTAAGCCCAAAGTTCTAAACTGTTTATGCCATTCGTGTTTTTCGGAGACCGCCGTCTCCATGCTCAACTTCGACACGTATATAATTCATATATAATACGACATATAATTAATATAATTCATTAATTAAATTTAATTAGTGTGTTTTGATATCAGTTGTCAGATTGGTACAGTTTGTCAACCGTGATTAAAACATGTCCCAAGATGACTGTTTCTAATTGCTGCCTTAAGGCTAAGGTTTGCCGTTTTTAAGTTAGTTATCCATTAATATATATTTCAATCCTATTTCACAAGGTCCGGTGAAATTTCAAATGTAATAGGGAAGTTGCAATGAAATAGGAAGTGAAGAGGTAACTGTATTTAATTTATAATGATATATTTAATTAAAAAACGAAAGCATGAACAATAACGTTAACCAAACTGAACTTAACAAAAATAACCGAACTTAAGCTAAACTGACAAAACTGCCGGGATCGAATAGGGCAAGCAAGTTGTTTAGTCATAGTATACACTTACTTACTTCGTAGTATACACTTATACACTTACTAGAAAACAGCAACGATGGTGATGACGAAGGAGATACTAAAACATACGACGAGCCATACAATCACTCCTGTTGTCAAATATCTAATATCATTGACCACACCTTTATCAACTGCAATAAAAATATTTTACGAATATCATCCATCGTGTTGACACATTTTGGCGCTGCTTATAACAACTACTGTTCTAAGTTGATGGCTATGAATTACCATAATTGTCGTATCTTTATTTGTTTGCATCATACAACTTCTAGTCAATGGGAAACGCGTTCCAAACTATCTTTGTATTTTCCAAAATACCTTTTTACAGCTAATTTGCAGTATTTTTGTCGAACATTTTCGGGAAGATAATTCAGCCTTGATAGTGGGAGCTGAGAGTCAAATAATTTGCGAACTGTACTTGTTTGGTTAGTAACTTCTTATTAATTAACCGAACGCGAGGTCTGTACAGAGAAATATCGGACCGAGGTCTTTTTTTGTATAGACCGAGCGAGGTTTGTACAAAAAGACCGAATTTCCCTGTACATACATACCGAGGCAGCGAGGTTAATAAATAATATTGCGATTCCGGTCAATGTTCCTTAAATAGTACCGATTGTTAATTAATTTTGGCAAAACACTGCGACAGGGATGGTTTGGATCGTTCATAAACCTATCAACTTCTCGACTAGTTGCCTCTTCCCTTCTTTCGTTCAGCGGTGG